TTGATGATTTAATTGTACAGAAGAGTTGCTGCGGTGGGGCCAGAGACAATAAAGTATTTTTTTATAAGGATGGGCTCCTGTGTTGGCAGAAGCCAGGAAGCTGTGGGGCTCAGCGGGCAGGAGAGGAGCTTGCAGGATCCCCTGCAGTGGCCTCTGCGCCTGGTCCAAAGGAGGCACCGTTCTTGGGGAGGTTGCCCAGAGCTTCAAAGTGGCCTCTTGAGAAACGATGCTAGGTCTACTAATGTCAAAGCACAGCAATAAAACTATTTCAGATTTCTAGAAAAAAGATACACAACAGATTGAGATAAATTGTGGGGTACCAGAATAATTGTTCAGAGACTAACAGTGAATAAATTTGCACAACTACACACATTGGCCCATTGGAAAAACCAGCTACAGTGTCAGTGTGAACTCATAAGTAATTTCACAGATTGCTCAGTGCCATGTGTGAACTCAGCTCTTGTGGTTGTGCAAACTCAACTAATTGTGGTTTACCGAGTAAACCATGGCTCAGCACAATGTACAAACCCAGGAATTAGGTGTCCATATAAAGCCAGACTATTTGAAGTCTCTGCTGAAAGTTCATTTTTCTGTAGGTCATAAACGGATCCCTCCTAATGCACCCCCTCCCCAAGAATGCAGAAATTGCTGGTTTATTTGGGGGGTGGCTGGGTTTGGTTTCCATCCTGGCAGGCCCAGGATGGTTTAAATTAGGCACTTCTGCGCACTTCTGACTGCTGCGGCTGCCTGCAGTTCTGTAAGAGGTGCGGGCCAGAGACGTTTTCTTGCTTAGCACCGACTTTCTGATAAGAAGCTGGTCTGTGTCCAGAAATACTATCCGAGGGTTTCAGCCTTGCTCTGCTGCCACCATTTGCTGACTGGGGACAGCTGATTGACAGAGGGTTGTGTGTCTGGCGCTCGTGCCCGTTAAGGCTCCCGGCTCAACTTGAATGGAGAAAATGTTCAGTAGCGAGATGGAGCTATTTGGTCTTCACACCCCCAGACAGAGCTGCTCTTGTCCCCCAGTGCTTTCCAGGGGCCATTTGTGAAAAAGTAGATGACCCTTCCCTCGTTTTAAGCTTCCAAAAGGCTGCTTCTACCACGATCTTTATTTTAATGCTTCTGCACTGCAGACTAGCACTTGCCAAGTAGCCTTGGCAAAGATACCCAGATGCCCACGTTATGCCTATGCTTCCAAAGATCAGAATCATGCAAGCCACGGAATTCCCTGGGATACTCCATAGAAAGGAAAGTTGGATAGGAAGAGTATTGACGCTTCTGAACTTCGGTGTTGGAGAAGAAAACAAGCCAGTGGACCACTGAACAAATCAACCCATTCTCCCTCGAGGCACAGACGACCAGGCTCAGAGTCTCACATTTTGGACACGTTATGTGCAGACCTAGTTCCCTTGAGAAATCTATAATGCCGGGAAGGGTGGAAGGAAAGAAAAGGATGGTCGGCAGGAAGGTGGATAGATTCAATTACAACAGCAATTCACTGAGATGCCTAAAAGTTCAGGTTGAGGACAGATCAACCCGAACCTGAGAAAGTCAGCCTCTGTGGTTGCTAAGAGTCAGCATCAACTTGATGCCCCCTATTTAACCAGTCAAGCCTGCCTTTTCATTCTAGGTAAAAATACCTAAGGCTGGAGACCACAGAATTATGTGAATAAAAGATTAAGCAAATCATGTGTTTTAAACAGCAAATGCAGGTAAAGATCAGGTTCTGCCAAAGAAGTTACCTTCAATAATTAAACCCACCTTGCAAGCTGGCTAAAAGTAAGTTTTGGAGTGTGTGCCTTTCCACTGCACATCTGGTGGAGCCACCGGAGGCCTCCCTTCGTGCAGGGAAGACCTTCAGAGGACTGTTGAGGGAGAGGAGCAGCAGAGCAGGTGAGTCCCCCTTTCTTCCATTCAAATTGGGCGGAGGAGGCCCTGCAGGCAGCTCCCCCCAGCGAGAAGAGGCTTTGACTCCTGAGCCAGTTCTTTTCAGCGCAGGAAATGTGTGCTCGGCCCCCAGAAAAGAATCTGGGTCACTCTTGCCTGAGCAATGGCCTTGCCTGAAAGGGAGATGTGCCTCTTCGGCACAAAGGCAGTCAGCGTTGCCTCCCGCAAGGGAGAGCTGCTTGTCCGCCCGAATGAGGCTGCATCCCTGCTGAGGTGCTAATCCTCGAACCTGGCCTCAGCCCCTCGGCCACGTCCTTCCGTGGGCAGAAGAACCAGCAGTGAAGGCAGGCACGCCTCACGCGTAGAAGGCGATCCCGCAGGGAGAGATGATCTCCCAAGGCCAGTGTAGAGAGGGCACCACTAGTCTTGTGAAACCACACTTGTGCTTGTGGAGGGTCCCGGCCCCACTAGAGTTCCACAGGGGCAACGCGGAAACGGGGAGGGAAACTTGGTTTTTGAGGTGCCCATTTCTGGAGAGGGCTGCCACCACTGTTCCCTCTCTAAAAAGGGGTGACTGAGCAGCAAGCAGCTCCAAAAGAAAATTGTGTGTCTGATGCAGCGACCTCCCCCAGTGTTTTCTTGTAAATGTTAAACCAAATGGGGAGATCCCAGTCCTGCAGCGCCCCACACTCGCATGCCCATGGACCT